AATCCATATTAGCGAGTTGAGGACCGGAAGCAAGATTGAGAGACTCAACTTGTGTTAATTTCTGGCAAAACGTTTGGAACAATAGTGTTTGTTTTAGTTCCTTAATCTGGGAACCAGCGCCTACTTCTCCTTCCGGTCCTTTACTCTGATTGAACTTAGTATGTAAACACCCTATTCCTAAAACAAGATAAATCGAAAACATTGATCATAGAGAAGTCCAAGATGTTTGCCTGACCTCAACACAAATTAGTTGTTTTCATTCAACCCCTGTTCAGTAAGAGGCGGCTCCTTTTGACTCCTGGTTTGTCACAACCCAAAACCTATTATTATCATTGTTATTATTATTATTATTCCTATCATTACGATACTAAGTTTACGTGTTTTTTGTGTTTTATACTTTTAATTTTTTTTTTGAATTTTTCCCCCCAAATTTTATCTCTTATCATAGACTGAATAAATATGATCCCCTCTGTGAAAACATTCCCCAATATAAATACTTGAAAGGTAAAATGATAAAATATTTGAAACTTAAAATGATTAGTATAGGTAATAGCATGATTTGTACATGATATTCGGCATAAATACCACAAGTGATATTTCGAAATTGTTATACGTAATTTCACGAGCCGTTAGGCGAGTGAACTTTGAGACAATTTTGAAATTATTTATATGGTGTTTCATCTTTTTTCCTCGTTTAGTACATACAGGACAGTATGTCATGAATTCGTTTTAGCGACTATAACTTAATGTTTAAGACTAATAGAATACTAATATCAAAGTGCATGTGACCCATTATTAATTATTATTTCTAGTTTGTTTCGTAAAAAGTTTCTACTTCGTCTGGTGTGAACTTGTACGATCCTGCCAGGAATGTTTTGGCGAAGGTGCTGCCGTAGCTGTACCCGCTCGGTGGGCTGTAAGTATTGCCAAGGTTGCCCTCAGAATTGCTATAGGATGACGCGTAGTTGTCAATGTAAATGTCAAATCCATTTCCAAATGTAGGCCCACAAGTTGAGCCACAGTATTTTGAATATGCTCTGTAATAACTATATTTCCCTGACTGAGGCAGTTTAACAGGTGCCCATCCTGGTTTGTTCACCAGTGAAAACAAAAATGCTTTGGAATCGTACAGCCACCTACCGCTGGAATCTATCAGAGAGAAATTAAAGATGGAACCAAATGTAATTAGCGCCGTTTGTTCTGATACTCACTTTAGAAATTAAAATCACCCGTCAAGTGCATTGACACTGAAGACAAACCTGGAAACAAGTTTTCTCATTTGAAACGAATGTGAGTCTGATATGTTTTATTTATTTTACTTTGTAGTTGTAGGACAATTACAAATATTTTAAAACCAAAAAAATAAAAAAATTAAACAACAATAAAAATGCCAAAAAAAACAAACAAACAAACCAACCAACCAACAAACAAACAAAACGAGAGTCAAATAACCTTTAGAGGAAATCTGTCGAGTATTTTAAAGGAAAGAGTTTCAATTAATTGACCTACAAAAAGCTATTCATTCCAGAAAATATTTGAATTCATTATATTTTAACCGAGCAAATTAACGGATGGACTACACACAGTTTTGCCACGAAGTTTGACGTTTTCGTTTCAACTGACTCCTGAACTTTCTAACACAGTTTTTCTTATCAAAGTACATGTAGTTGATTTAACAGACTTCATCACCTTAAAAGTAAAACCTATTGGTACAGAAATTGAATGCATAAATACTTTCTGAAAGCCTTAATTAACAGCTCAGCACAATTGGTCTGATTTAACATGCTGTACTGATTTTAATTATTTATCATTTTCAGTTTAGGGCCTAGAGCAGATCATGATATGGCCGGATAAGTACTTTTTAATTAGTTTCAAACAAAGCCAACTAATGATAAGAATCGTCCTTATTCAGAAAATGGTGGTGATGCGGGAGGATAAAGGGTAGAATGATGCTAGAACAAGATCCAAGAAAAGTGAAAAACGCCCTTTGAATCTGTGCTTCCAAATGCTGGATCATTTTGATGAACAGATGCTCACTGAATAACTTTGTTTAATTTATGCTTTAAAACAAAGCTAGAAACCGGAGCTAAAATTATCTCTGTTTACAATGCTTACTCACCCCATGACCTACTGGTATATCCGCCAAAAATATATTTCCCAACCCTTATTATTGTTACAGTCGGTCCCTTGCCATCACATCGTGAGTGAAATGTACTTGCAGCCCAACCGTCCACAGATGCACGCCAACAGCGCTTCCAGAGAGAATTTATGCCTTTAGCCACAGGTGCTAGCCAGTTGCCTAATGAGGTCAAATGGTTCTTTTTGTTTCCCACAATAACAGAATCTTCCAAACCTGTGACCCAATGAAATATGGCCGCGTTAGAACTAGTTAAACGTTTAGCATCAGGTCAGTCTGTTAAGTCTTGTCGGATTTCAGCTTAGCAGGAAATAGCAGCAAATGAAGCCCTCGGACGTACACGCAAATTTATCATATCCCCACCGTGGTACAGGAGGGGGGGGGGGACCCCTCCCTTGGGTTTTTGAGTTGTTTCAGTATTTCGAAACGATTTTATCTTTAGTGGAGTCGGTCAGTGTAAAACGAAGACTGCGGACTGCGGACCGGGGTTAAAATGCAGACTGAGTGTAAAATGCAGACTGCAGACTAAGAGTAAAACGCAGGCTGGGGTAAAATGCAGACCGAGCATAAACTGAAGTCGTGGAAGGGTTTAAGGGCAAAAAAAACTCCCGCAAATACATGTAAACGAACACTTACTTGAA